ACTGGTCGCAACCAGCGAGTGATGGGCGCCAGACAGCAGCAGCTCTCCCTGGCCTCACCCTCCTCCCGCCTTCTCAAGTTTCTGAGTTTGATTCTGGTTATTGTAATTTCAGGCCTGTCAACATTTTTGTTACATTGTAAAGAAAAGTAAATGAGAGCAAGTGAGATAAATATGTGAGTGCGCAATAGCACCTGAGTGAGTAAATGTTACAGACAGCTGTGGCAAAACTTTGCTTCCTGTAACGTGCAAATGGCTCTCCATATAAATACTCCACGTTCAAAAGTCAAGAGGGTATAGGCTCCTCTGATGAAGCTGCTGTGTGTGTTTTTGACTATTAATAAATAAAAAGTGCTTGGATGGGTTACCATAACTACTGTATGCAGTTATTTACAGCGTCCGCATCTTCTAATGGCCTCGTCATTTAAACGGTCTTTTAATATCCCAAAGCTTTCAGCCGTTTTATAATGGTTATTTTGACATACAGTAGTTAAGTGTTGAACATCAAGTTGTTTACAGAAATTGAGCTCTATATTTTGTTAGGTTTTCTTTGAAAGAGTTTATACTATAACCAAGAGAAAACAGCTGCATTCTGCTGTCGTATCTGAAGCAATCCTGCAGTGTATCTTTCAGCTCCTCATTGCTTTTTCTCTGTGACAGCTATCTGAATATGTTGATGACTGCATCAACAGCGGCAGACGTACAACTACACATATCAAATGAAAACTTGGAACCGAAGAAAGTGTTTCCTTGACGTGAGTAATGTTGAGTGATAAGCTGTTTAGGCACAGTATATTTTATAAGTGCAGATGCCCAACTCTTGCTCCTTGGCACTATTTTCTGACATTTCACTGTGCCTGTGTACGTGTAAGTGTCAGACCAGTTGCTTTATGAGTTTCCTCACTGGATAACAGGAGCCTGAGACTTTCCGCACCAGTTTTTATTAAGACATTTGTGCTAAGATTAGCACCTTTTATTTAATCATGTGTTTTCTGATTCCTTTGATCCTTGAAACGAATCATGCCACCTTCATGCCTCTACCCTTGCCCACTATGTATAATGCAATGCGATGTCTACTGAATTTGTGCGATAATTTCCATAATGGTTCTAAGACATGGGCAGACTTTTTTTAAATGTAAATTTAGAATACAATAAATATAAACACACATGGCTTTTGATAAAACCAAGAGAATGCATCCTTTGCACTCTCTGTTATTGTGATTATAGAGATGTTTTTGTTGAGTTGGCATGACTTCGTAATCTCTTGGTGCATAAACTTAACATCTTAATGTCTGCTTGAAGAGTGGGAACATAACATTGGCCACTTCATGCGGGGAACACACCCTCTGATTAAAAGCTATATACCAAAATATACCATGTACAGTAAATGTGCATTGATTACTTTGTAACACAGAAAGCAGATATAAGTTTTAATGTAGTTGTCAACAACTATAACTGTTCCTGTGGACACCCATAAGTGGATTGTGTATTAACAAATACAGTTTAATATATAACATGCCTTCATAGGTGAAGTTATGTTTGTTGACAAATGCTGCACATTAATGAATGCAGATGTTAGATGAAGGGTGCTATACACTCTTGATTAAATGTTTAGTGCTTAAACCATAAATGCTAAATGTGGGGTTGTAGTAAAGTGAGGAATGCAAGACATGTAGCAACACACAACATGTAAAAGTATATCTTGAGAACACGGTTAAGTCAGTACACATCCTTCAGTTGATTAAAGCTAATGAGCATTAGTTTACTAGTATTTAGTTATCACTGCACATAACTGAGTAAGTGGATGAGAAACAACGGGGATTCTTCTGTTCATTCTTCTTGAAGCAGACACACCAACGCTTCATTCAGAAGTCAGTCAGGGGGCCCCTCCTAGGATGTGAGATAAATCTGTTAAGTTAGTTGCCTTCGATGGAGTGACCCGGCAACTGTCCCACCAACATGCAGAGTAGAACTCCTACCCTGCAAGACACCAAGGTAGGTTATATACGGTGTAGTTTAAGGTTTTGTACTTCTGTAACTTTATGCTTGTGTCAGCTGTGACTATACAGTATTTTACTATAGGAAGACATTTCCTAGGAGCAGTCAAGTAGGTGTTGCCACTGGTTTGTCCTTGTGTGTTTGAGGCCCTTTCAGGCAGCTGTCCTCGTCACTCTTCAGTAGTTATTGTTAGAAGCAAATGGTGCCCATGAGATACCTTTCATGTCAAGTCAGGCTGCTGGTACTTTTTAAAGGAGCCCACCACCAAACACAAAGATGAAATACATTCTCCCCAAATGCCCCATAACAAACATCACTGAGACTGTACCACAAGGTTAATAATGAAATTCAGGTCATTAAAGTTTTAGAAAGGTCAGGCCCCATCTTCGTCCAGACTTCAGTGTTGTTACAATGGAAGGAATATTTAAACATTTTTGTTTCTCGGTGAGAGGTAAATGGGAACATTGATACCAGGCTCATGTCTACATGCAAAATGATTTATGGCCTTTAGTATTGTAACCCACCTCATAAAAGGGTACAGGTGTGTTATAATTAGGTTTAATGGTTTCACGTATCAAACGCTTTATTTTGAAAACCGGAAGTTTTATTTTTGTAATCACAGGAGAGGAAGTCGTGCCACTGTGTAAAAGACGTAATGTGAAAAACATGGTGTACGGTTAAACGCATGCTAAACAAAGAGGAAAGAAAAAGTCCATAAGAACTTCTTAAAACAGAAAAAAAAACTGGAAACTCGTCTTAAGTTCGAGGGAGCTCGAGCTTAACGTCAGACAACCTGAAGGAGTAAAGCTTTAGGTGTTGAAAAACAGAACCCTTGGTCAAGTCTTTTTTTTGATTTCCCTGGCGGGAAAGGAGCATGGAAGATCATCAGCAGCCGTCCGAGGGGGACGACTGAACCTTGTGTGATGGCGAGCCACCCAGTGTGATTCCATAGTATCCAATCATCAAATTGACAGATCATCCATCTGTATATGTGGTAGGATTGTGTCAGTCATTCCGACTGATTCCAACAGAACTTGGACCCAGAGATACCGACTTTTGACTAATTGACTTTCTGAGCTTGGACTGACTTGAACATTGGGGAGCCACAAGTAGCATTCCCAACAAAAAAAAAACACATCTCACTGGTAGAGCAATGTCATGATCAGTTTCGTTTCTGAATACCACAGGTACTTGGTAGGGTCGGTCCTTGGGGAATGCTATGACACAGCTGTCAACGAAGATTCCACCAGGCAAGGATGATACTGTTGGTTGTTCAAGCAGCAACCAATTTTCATTGACTGTGTTGTTGATGTTAGCAAATCCATCAAGCACAACTTTCTGCCCAGCAGGGATCAATTTTGGTTCAGTATTCCGTAAGTGCACAAGACCACAATGACCATCTTGGTTTTGCTTGTGTCTGAGTTGCAAGGTTTTTAGGACTTGGTGATAACCACAGTAAGGGCTGCTTTGAGGGAGACCGTCATTACAGAACTGCTCATAAAACGGGTCAAGAGTGTTAGTTCCAATCAGTAGTGGAGTGATGCTATTAGATCGGATATCTGGCACTACTAAAGCAAGTGTTTCAATTTCAGGTTCAGTGATCATGAACTCTTTAGAGAACTGGAGAGTTACTTTGATATAACCTAAGTATGGTACTGATTGACCGTTTGCCCCTTCAATGTTTAGCAAATCAGAAATGGGATGAATTGTTTGATCTGAAAGATAACGGTTATAAAAGGACAGGGACACGGTTGTAACCTGTGATCCAGTATCAAGTAAAGAACTACATTCAAGTCCGTTTACTTTAACGTTGGCAGTACTTTTACTTCCAACAAGTCTTTTAGGTAGTGTCCTGGCTCGTGCAACTCTATGCTCTTTTAAGTTGACTTTTTGTTTGGCCTTTTGTTCAGTGATGGGACTTTCAAGGTGATTTGTCTCCATTTGTCCCTCAATGGAAACAGAGTTCAGTTTAAAGATAATTGTTCATTCAGTGGGTGATTCTGTTCCCAGATCCGTTGTTTTTCTTTTAGCTGGTCTCTCTTGGTAGACACCAAGGTAGGATTTGGAGGGTTATCACAGGTGACTGCTATGTGTCCATCTTTGCCACATTGAAAACAGTACCAAGGTTTTGGTTTTTGGTTGATTGCTGCAGGCGTGAGATCAGGAGTAGGTCGGTTTTGTGGGTCTGTATTATTCGATTTCTGTTTTTGCTTTTCCTTGTCCTTCTTCTTTGCAGGTTTGTTTATACCAGTTTTTCCTTGTTTGGGGATGGAGAGAGCTGCAATCTGAGCTTGTAGTTCAACGATTTGTCTTTGGATTTGCTGCACTGCGAGTGGGGAAGTAGCATGGGGTGCTGGTAAGTCATACTCGGTAGCATCTACAAGGTAAGTATCATGCACTTGTGCAGTAGCTTGTGCCTTTGGTTTTTGAAAACCAAGGTGTTGCTTCATTCGGTTAGCTTTCGCTGCTTGTCTGTCTTCCTCAGTACGCAAGAGCAACAGAAATTCTGGAAAACTGGGAGGTTTATCTTTCCTCTGCTCAAGCTGAAGTGTGTTAATTAAAGCATTGTTCCAACAGCCTCTACAAAACTGCTTTAAGAGCTGTTTATCTGAATCACTGGGTGAGATGGTTTTCATTTTTACAAGTCGGTTCACAATTGTTTGTAACCGTTGTAAATAGCTAGATGGTTTCTCACCAGAATTCTGATTAATACTGAGGAACTGGGCAAACAGCTCATCGCCGTCCTCGACGATGGCATAAGCCGAATCAAGTAGAGCTAGGAAAGCTTCTGGGCTAGCATGGGGGCTTAGTGATTTCACCACACTGACAGCAGGAGGCAATAGACTGTCGACCATCCTCCTTATTAGCTGGGCACTGGAAACAGTGGGATCAGCTAAATGACATTCAATACTGTTCCTCCAGGTATCATAGTCCACTTCGAAATTTGGGCAGGGGACTCTGCCAGAAAAAGGTCTCAGCTTGGCTGGAGCATGCATTTGCGAAGAAAAATCAGAGCTTTTAACAATGTGCTCGACAACTACCCGCTGTACCTCAGGAGGAGTCAAGTGATCAGGAGATGACATGAATGATGATGTGGACTGCTTTTGAACAGATGAGGTGGCGATAGGTGGATCTGAATTGGAGGTAGGTGGATCTGGATCAAGGGTTGAAGTGTTTGTGAGTGAACTTGTCTAGGATTTATCTGCGGAAAGCATTTCTGTAGCCCTTTCAAAGGACGCTTCAACCGGAACTGCGCTGTGAGGGATTTCAGACTCTTCACTCTGACAAAGTCCTCCGACAAAGTCAGTGATTCTGGCTAGTTCATCACGTAATATGTGCTCAGAAGATTTCCCAAATAAAGCGTTTGATACGTGAAACCATTAAACCTAATTATAACACACCTGTACCCTTTTATGAGGTGGGTTACACTATAAAGTAGGATAACATTGTAATGCTTAAGTATAAGTATCTCACAACTATTTTTTACTTGTGTAAATGTCAGCTTTGCTAACCAGGCGCTAGCTGTAGCTTTATATTTATCAGACAAAGTGGTATCAGTCTTCTCATCTAACTAACTCTCTACAAGGGAGTGAATAAGCTTATTTCCCAAAATGTCAAACTGTTTCCTTAAGCTAAGGATTGTACTTCAAAACTTGATCCATAAAGAATCCTGAAGGCATGAGGCATATTGTAAGACATACAACCTTTATTAAATGCACAGTATCACAAGGAACATTTCCATTAATTGTGGGTAAGCTACTCACATGATGCACAAAGCATTGAATTGATTGATAGAACTGGCTGATTAAAGCAGGATTAAATCTGCCAGGAGGGCGCACGCATACACACACACACACACACTCACAATCATACACACTCCTGCATACACAAGTATGTGCGAACACACCGTTAGTCACACACAAACACATACACACTTTTTGTATCCACATATTAAGTAAAATTTGTTATTGACAGGAATGAAAACTGTCATCTTTTTTTCTTTTATCATATATATTTACAAAAAAGCATTAACACCCAGGATAAATTACATTCAAAAAAGGTCCCGACCCTTCTAGATTACATTCAAAATAATATACTATTCATGATGCAAAGTCACAGTTATTCATCTGAAAGAGAGATAGGCTACAGTCAGTCAGAGGTTGAGCAGTGGGGGTTAGCCAGGAGGCGACCTTTGACCTCCTCACCACTGGACACACGTCTGCTAGGACACCCATCAGCTCGGAGAGATCATGATGTTTAATCAGATCTAGAGTCTATGGTCCTACAGACAGACGGAGCATCTCACACAGCCTCTGTGTAAGCTCCACGTTACGGTGGAGAGGAAAGAAGAGATCACGTTTCTTTTTTAGTTTTTTCTTCTTCAAAGAAAGTCCTCTGCAGATCAAAAGATGCCAAAAAAGGATTGTATTCTCACTGGTATTATCAACAAGCACAAATAAATTATACAATGTAGCACAAATAAAATTCTATTTACATATAGTATGTATTGCCAGTGGCCCATAACACGTTGTCTTCCATAGATGTCACACGGTTTTGACATGATACCTGCTTAAAACAGATTATACTATTAAACATAGCCTACTATTCATATAGACAAATATCAGAACTGTACAGAATGAACAGCAATGTATGTACAGCAGACATGACAATTATAGAGACCTGACAAACACTGTAACAAAAACAAAGAGGGACATGGGAACTGTCAAGATTAGGACTTGCTTCCGTCGTGGTCAGAATAGCAAAGGTGAAATGTTTTATCTTTGTTGTAAAGTGCAGCTGAGGTTGAGGTGGAGAGTGGTCCATGCTGAACGCAGCTACTGAGATTGTGCATTTGGGGGTTTAATTAATGCTACAAAGTGCACTTAACTTATTGTCTCAGCAAAGAGCCTTACTGCTTTATGCCTCCATATGGAAATACATGATGGCTATTATGAAGGAGTAATTGCTGCTGACTAATGCAAGAGTTTGGACTACAGACCTGAACCACCACACTTGCTTTAACATTTTAACCATTTTGTAATCTCAGGTAAACAGAAATATTACAGATAATTTGGAAAATGATCACAAGAACATATTTTAAAACAATTTTTCAAGCATCCTCTGCCTGTATAAATGTGCTTCAGGAGGAGCCGTATCAGTCACCACTCGGCTGTTGGAGGCCTCTCAGAGAGATGAAAGCGCCCCTGGGACACCTTAAGGGCAATCAGACAATTAATCCTTTTACTGCAGTCTTTTACTCTATTATGTAGAATTAAAGATAAGTCCTCCAAAGTGCACTGCTGTGATTTAAATAAATAACAAATACACAAGTAGCAATTGCAATACATACAAAACCAAAGTGCTGAAAATAAAGAAACACACAATAAATACAGTAAAACCTTCATCGGTGCATCAGTAAACTGCATCAAAATGCTCTGTCAGTGCCTGCTAGAAATTAGATAATGAAGTGAAATCCTTATCCTTTCTCCTCAAACTGTAAATGCAACATCACCCACAACATGTGAAAACTTGTCTTTTGTAGATGCAAAAAAAATCACATCACTTACAGATATGGGCCACCGAACAATAGAGATTTGCTAAATGACATTGCTGGTGAATGGAAAAAAACAAAAAAAAAACAAAAACAACCTGTGCGCTTCTTTTTTCCAGACAGACACAACCCAGCACCGCCGAGTCCTCATTCTCTGTGCTTTAGATACAGTACGTCAAATGAAAGGACTGTGAAGTGAGTGGAGCACTCCAACATTTAGACACCACTCAGTAAATATAGTTGATGAACAGATTATAAACAATATGGCAAATGGTGGCATTATTAAACACAACCTCAGCATTTATTTTAAATTAGAAAGTCCCACTGGGAAGTTATATATACCAGGCATCTATGAGAATCTGTATGGGTTTCACTATTTTTAACTTATGTATGTAATCATATACACACATGTTTACAATTAAAACAAGTTTCTCCTGATGACCCAAAAATTACAGATTTAAATGAATAGCTTGCTATGAAAAGAAGCCGACATTTATAAATTCTACAATATGAAAATAGTCTGGGATATAGAAAATAAAAGGCTTCAGCTGTTACTCAGTGAGTAACTTTATCTTGTGGCAGATTATGTTGCTTTGTGTGGTGTCCATACACTGTCCATTATGGAGAAACATTATTTTCCCTTTGTTCATTTCCAGCACATGGAATAATTTAATGCAACAAGTGTAGACAGAAATATCCAGTTTTCAGTGTATCTGAGCATTTCATTCATTTTTATTCCTTTAACATATACTGTTGATGGTTTGGATAAAGTTACATAATCCTGTGTGCATTTTGATTGCCATTTGTGAAACATGCCCAGGTAATATCTGCAAGTGGATAAAAAAAAAAACAAATTCACTCAAAATTTAAGGCTATTCTTGATGTAATGAGGACATGGACGACAGCATTTACAGTAACATTTACAGCCAGGTACTGTACACAGACGCACTCACACAGTGACACAGCCTTTGTTTCCCCTTCTCCTCTCTGTGCCATCACGTGCAGACAAACAGACAAAGACCTGTCCAACATACAAAGCCCCAGCTGGCACGCATGCACGCAGAGTACATACGCAAACACTGGTGCATCAGCCCAGTATGTCCAGGTACACAGGTGAGGCCTTGGCAAGGCTCTGGAGCATGCTGTGGATCTCCTTGATGTTCAGCCTCATGTAGGGCTCCCTCTGCCAGCAGCCCAGCATCAGGTCATAGACCTCTTTAGGACAGGTCCGGGGCCGCTGCAGCACACGGCCCTGGGTGATGCACTCGATCACCTGCACGACACAAGGGGACAACGCACTGTCTGCACTTTGGCTGTGGTATTCAGAGCAATGCAACACAATTCCTCAGATGAGGAAAGGGATTTAACTGAAAATTCTGTAACTTTTGCTGCATTGAATCCACACAGAATCATTGTGTCAAAAGAAATAAAAACAAGGCATGTCCTGCTGGTCTTGAGGTTAAAACATGAACCACAAGGCTCCAGATTTATGACTAATGCTGTCCTCAGGGATTATTTTCTCAGACCTGACAAAGCTCTTCTAGAGTCACAGAAGACATCATATAACAGTTTTCACATGCTGGGCAGTATTAAACATGACAAGTAAACTGACCCTTTTTTGCAAGATTAGCAGAGTTTCAAATCAAATAGATAAATTATTTGTCTGGGTTCTGTTAACATATGATTATTTTAAATTTGTAGTTTGCTTAGAACTGTGGTGATTCCTGTCTCAACCCTGATTATTTTGGCCATTCTGCCGTTGTCTTCTGCCACTCTTCATCTGCCCAGCAGGTGTCCTCAAACTTTCTTCCCAATCTGAGTCACTTGACCCCCAAATTCATCTGCTCATTTGTCTCCTATTCTTAATTGCCAGACCTTACCAGCCCACAGACACACCTATTCCTGTTTCCCTCATTAGCTCTGCTGTATATATACTGGTCTGTTTCCACCAGCTCCCCTGCCTGATTGTCTTGTCTTGGTTGGTGTATGGAGCATAGTCAGGGGTGATCCAGGCTGGTGCAGTGAAGAAACTTTAATAATGAAAATGGTGGATATGACATCCTCAAAAAGTATAAGTCACACTGAGTCTAAAAATATGTGCAATGTGTGCATGTTTCTTTTACTATTGCCTCTATGATTTGAGTGCCTGTACACGCCACATTTGGAACCTTGTCTCACAGTTTGAGAACCTCTGGTTTAGATAGATAAATGTTTTGATTAGTCAGTAAAACCTAAAGGATAGCACAATTGTAAGTGAAACAACCTATTTCCAACATGGTCACAAAATTAAATGATTTCAATCATCTACTGGGTCTGTGTTTGTCTGCCTACCCTAGGTTTTTGTAATGAACTTTTGAAGAATTTTGCTATAACTTCGCCATCAGTAGCAATATGTTCGTTTGGGTCTAGGTCAGAAATGTGAGAGTGAGTATGTTAAGGTTTCTCTGAGGGCACTGTTTGACTGGGTGGCAGATGACTGAAGTGACTGACTCGGTGCAGCACAGACAGACTCATGGAGTACAGACTTTGTGTGATTCTGACCTCATTGTTGGAGAGCTGGTACCAGGGCTGCTTGCCATATGTGAAGATCTCCCACAGCACCACACCAAGGCTCCACACATCACTCTCTGTGGTGAACCGCCGGTACATGATGCTCTCTGGGGGCATCCAGCGGATTGGCAGCATCGTATGACCGCCCACCTGCAGGGAGAGAGAGAACAGTCTCCATCAGAGACCAGCTACGAGACCTGCATGTTAGACTGACTACTGTTATTGGGATATTTTTGAACATGCTAGTGTCAGGGCATAATTCAGAGAGGTGTTTCAGCTTGCCTTCGTTAAAGTAAATACTGTAGGGTGAACAAAATATTTGAAAAATCTGTCCATCCAATACAGTACAGTTCAATGGTACCACATACTACATCTCCAAAATCATCCGTTAAATCAACACCTCTCAAATAGTTTTTATCAAAGACTGAACACTATCAGCGTCCTGAAAGGAGGATTTATTGTTGTGTTAAGCTGCACTTGTTTTACTGAGAAATTAAGCTTAGTCAGTCTGCCATTCCTGAAACATGCCCATTAATCTTTCATAACCTTTTACCCAACCAGTGTCTTCCTGACCTCCTCAATGACTTACTTCCTGTCAAGTAAATGCATTCTCTCGCTTACCACCACTCCTTTTATCCAGTCAGCTTTACCTCCATCCTTTCACTTCATCACCTCAGCTAAATAAACTCACATGCACCTTCACTCAGGCATCCTTCATGGCTAAAACAAATTAATTATTTTGCACCCTAATAGCCCAACCGTAGTCCATTAAGCAGTTCTTCCCTATCTAAATTTCAGTTTGCATTATAGCAGATGAGACAGCCTCATAAGCCGTGCTCATGCTTTTGCTTTCTTTCTGATAAAACCATTTGATATCAGGAGTTGCTGATAAGCCTTCTGTATTGGAATCCTATCTGGAGCAGGCATGTGTGTGCACGCACATTTGTAGAGTTCTGACTTCACTTTGGGCAGCAGAGGGCACTATGGGATTCAAAGTAGGATCTGACGCTCAAAGAATGGGAATAAAATACAAACATCTGTTGTTCAACATGACAAACTGCACTCTGTTTTTATTTTATCAGGCACTTCTAACAAAGTGTAATCTTCTCACAACCATCAGCAGGTCCTACTATGACTCCTCTATGGTTTAATATGATGCTGTTCATTATTAACTCCATGCCCAGGGAAAAATAAAAACTGCCCATGCATTTTTGCACTTATTACCATGGAAACAGTAATTTTATGCAGACCATAGAATTTGCATTTAAATTGTATTAACAATAGCTAAAATATCTGTTGGTAAAATAGTCATTTTAGTAGCTACGGTTGTTTCAAACCAACACTGGAATAAAATAAAATTCTAATTACACATTTGAGACTATGCATATGTGGGGTACATTTCCGTATTTCAGTGTATATTGTCTCTAAGGTCAGTGTGTGTGCGAGTGTACAAACATCTGTTTGAGTAAGAGAACTTGGGGACACAAGATGAGGTGAGAAAAGTTCTATGATCAATGCTACTCACTCTGTAGTAGTCTGTGCTGTAAACATCTCTGGACATGCCAAAGTCTCCTATCTTCACCAGCAGGTTTTCTCCTACCAGACAGTTCCTGGTTGCCAAGTCTCTGTGGACAAAGTGCTGGGAGGCCAGGTAAACCATACCAGCAGCAATCTGTTGGGCAATGTGCAGCATCTGGGACTGCGTGAGCTCCACCAAGATACTGTGTTGACCGTCCGCCATTAGCACTGCATCAGGACCATGGGACCTGCACCCAGAAACACTTACTCAGTGCTTCAGTCCATTGTACCACTGGATAGTTTAGAAAATATAATACATGTAATTATAGCAGAATTGTGTTTAATCTCACAGAATATATCATGATTTTGCTCGACCCAGCCTTTCTTGTACAGTGCACACTTAAGAGTTTAACATTTTTGGAAAATATGCTTATACTTAGTTGAGAATATCAATACTGCTCTCAGCCAACAGCCAGTTAGCTTAGCACAAAGACTGGAAACCGAGGGAAAACTGGCCCAACTCAAATATGCCTGCCAACTCTTCTAACGCTAGCAAATAAAACCTGTTTTTTTTTTTTTATCCATACAGAAGGAAAAGTGTAAAAATTGACAAATGATGTGGTTTTAGTGTTGGACTCCAGGAAGTCAAGGTCAGAGCGGTCAAAAAAACAAGATAAATTGTTAATTAGCAAGCTTTAGAGGCCCTAGTTTCAGACAGGGATATTCAGGATGATTTCCCTATGCTAAGTTAAACTAATTAATTGCTGGCTGTTGCACTCTGGTATTGACAGGGGCTCTCACTGGCAGAATGACAACAGTAAGACTGAAAAAGTGCAATGTGAGGGGCCTTCTCAATCCCAAAAATATTGTCAACAACCTTATCTGGTGGTTCAGGTGCAGTGGTTTTGTTCTTCACTTTCAGAATGAAAGAAGCATTTGATACCAATTTTGTGAAGTTAGAGATGTGATAGTGTAGTAACATATGCCAGAAGTCAAAATGATCCTACCTGAGGAACTTGTTCAGGTCACCATGTTTCATATATTCAAACACCATGATGAGCGGGTCGCTCTCTACACACACCCCGTAGAAGGTCACTATGTGTTCATGTTGCAGGTTGGTGAGGAGCTCGGCCTCTCTGTAGAAGTCTGCTCGGCCGCTCTCACTCGCCTCCTTCAGAGTCTGACAAAGGGACAAATGGTGAGAAGCATTATCTACAGGAATGTACATCCAGTCAACAGAAGTCACTAACTGAATGACAAGTGCATTGATTATTTGAGTGAGTGGCTTCCTTATCTGTACCTTGACTGCCACATGGAGCTTCTCCTGGTCTGGTGTCAGGTTGTAGCACTCAGCGAGAAACACCTTCCCAAAGGCTCCTTCTCCCAGCTCTCGCTTCAGTACGATGTTGTGTCTCTTGATGTGCTGGACAACTTTAATGCAGAATAAGGGAAATCACTCTCAAGGTCATGCATGCATATTGATTGTGTAGTGGGTATTTGGTGTACTGAAATAGGAGCATTGATAGCATTTATAAAGCTTCCTGTGAGGCACCAATAACTTGAGGCTGGTTTAAAAATAACCATAACACTTGTAAAAATATATCTTCACAGAAGTTGCTGACAAATACTGTACTCCAATAAGTACACCAATAAGTACTAACATGACCCTAAAGGGGTGTGCAACTACTATGGTGTGTTGTAAATTATTTTCCTTTCAGGTTAAGATTATGGTCAAGGATATCAGTTATTGTTAGTCAAACTGCATTTTCTTTGTTGGTTGGTTAATCAATGAATCATTTAAGACAATGAAAATATATACTCGATTTGTCTGACAGTTCAAAACAAAAATATATTCAATATACCTTGATATAAAACAAACAAAAGTAGCAAATACTCACATTTGAAAGGCTGGAACAGGTAAATATTTGATAGTTTTGTTTAATAAACGACTTAAACAGTGATCAGAACTACTGATGATTATTTTGCAGTCTAATTCAGCACTAATTAAAATTATTCTGAACTATAATAAACCACATGCACATGTACTTATGAACAAAAATCTGTAGGCAAACTGTCCAGTTGCCCCACAGAGCAGGAGTCACTATTACAGTACAGCCGGATGCTGACAATAAATCTGGCGTCCAGCAGTGATCTCTGCATGGATTTATCAGAAAAGGTCTGGGTTACCGGGCATTTGTCGAGTGAGGCTGTAACTCACACGTGTCAGATTTCAGAATGCTGCCGGAGTTACGAAAGTACTGTGGGTTCTCAATGACAGGAATCTTTGTCATTCCAATGATCACTGCGTCTGGACCCATCTCTGAGGACGACGGGGTGTTGTTGCCATTGGAGACGTGATGAAGAGGGCTGGCAGAGTCATCGTCATTACTGATGACTGAGGAGGAGCCTAGGGAGCCACAGAGGAAGAGGTGGAGAGGAAAGGGAAGACGGAGAGTGAAGAGTGGGGATGAGGCGAGGGGAGATGAGCAGAGAAGAAGTATAGGGTGTTGGTCAGAGGAGATGAGGAGGAGGAAGGGAAGGGGTGAAAGGAAACGATATACAGGACTTGTAAATCCATCTTGTATGTTGGCAGAAAGATGTAAGATGATTATAGCCTGAATGAGCACAATAGCATGAACTCAACACTGTATTGTAGTTGTATGTTTAAAGCTTATTTTAAGTGTTTATTAGTCTACTAGTCCTTGTATGAAGCATCCTTAGCTGGTGTATAAACAGTTAAAATAGTTTGATATGTTGGAAAATATGCTTATTTGCTTTCTGGTAGAAAATTAGATGACAAAACTGATACCACACGTATGTCTATGAGTTACATTAGATGTATTAGCTAAAGCTAAAGGCTGGAAACAGGGGGAAACTGTTAACCTGGCTCAGTAGGCTAAACTACCCAGCCGCTGGCCGTAGCTTCATATTTACCAGACAGAGTGGTATCAATCTTATCATCTAATTCAATCAGCTTATTGAATAGGTTTATTTTCTAAAATGACGAATTACTCTTTTAAGAACCTTAGTTCACCTTTAATACCAAACTTGGAGTTTCTTCCATATTTCAGAATGATCACCATCAAAACACATCCAGTCAAAGCAACTCCTGCAATTCCCACAACTACGTACACCTGGAAAGAAAGAAAAGACAGTTTTAAGCAAAGCTTTCAACAAAAATGTTTGGCATCCTTTAGGCCAGCATAAGGTTGGGATCCCCCAAAAGGGCTGCAAAATAAATTGCAGGGAAGTCATGAGATCATGTGCAGCAGAAAAAAAAAATACTACTAAACAAAATTATTTATTTGTTTCCCAAACGTTCTCCCAATCTTTTCTTTGGTCCAGTGAGTTATTATATAATTTTAGCTTTAATTGAACTGATTGTAACAGTTTACAAGGGGAAACAAGTAAACATATTTTTTAAGGGGTCATATGCCAAAATAGTTGAGAACCAGTGCTTTAGATGGAAAAAACTCGTGTACATCACTTACTGCAACACTGTCGTCCAGTGGAGGGAGTGGCGAGTCTGAAAAAACATCAAAATCCTTGACTGAACATTTCAAAAATAATAATTATTAAAAGCAAATGGTTGATACTGTAATGCTGACTGATGAGTGATGCAACATTTAAGCCTGTAAAAGTTCAAACACCTACCAGTGGTGACTGGAGGGAGAAACATACAACCACAGGAGGAGAAACAGATGGACATCAGGGAAAAGTTAGTTTTAATTTTGTTTACAATTGTTATCAAGATAGCAAGTATAGTTGCTTTTAGAAAACAGAGTAAATACTTACAGTAGTAGAAGTTCTCGTCTACAAAAAAAAAAGAAGATATTAACAGAGACGTTTGTAAACAGAAACTACCTTCAGAAATGAGCTGACTGCTTATTAAATGAACCCTGTATAATTATCGCATATTGAGACCTGTGTGGTTGATGTCAGGTGGGTCGATGAACTGGGCAGAGACCTTCTTCTCGTCCAGGCCGAACTTATTCTCTGCCACCAGCTTGTACACTCCGTTGTGGATGTGCGTAGGATTGACCAGCTGCAGGCAGCCGTGGTACTCGCTCTCAGTGGACAGGTGAATCATGGTGCGGATGTAGTCCTGCTCCTCAAGAGGTACGTCCTCATGGTACCACTGCAGCTCAGGCTTAGGGTTCCCTGTTACGCTGAAGGGAATGCACCAGTGGTGGTCCCGCTCTGGCCCCAGCAGCTGCTGGATGGTGGGGGCAACTGACACGGAGGCAACAGTAGAGGAAAAGTAATCACAGGATGATAGGAAATAAATGCCAGGAGGAAAAACCAGTAGGAAAAGCAACATTGATGGGCTTGGAGAGGAGGTGCAGTTGGAGGTGAAAAGCATGGGGAATAGAGATACTGATCACACAGCATCTGAACAGTGACAACAGGAAAACATGGAGGAGAAGAATGAGGAGAAATGTGCCATTAAACAAGCAAAGAAGTAAGGCAAGGCATGAGGAGCTTCACGGGACGAAGAGTTATGGATAGGAGACATGGAGAGTCAATAAGATTTGCAGAGAAACAGTAATGATAACAAGCTGCGGAGCCTTATGTTTCCAGTGCAAAAACACAGTCTAGCAGGTTTTTAACACATCATCTGAGAGGAACTTAGACTAAACTTAGTAATCTAAGTATAATTTTAAAGAATCGTTGGTTAACATTTACAGCTAGTGAAAATAAAAAAACAAGTGCTTACAGAGAATATTGAGCTGAAGAGTGGCCTCCATTTGACCAACCATGTTTGCAGCGCTGCATATGATCATCTTGCCATTATCGTCAGGAGACAGGCCTGATAAGGTGAGGTTGCTCTCTGTTTCCAGAAATTCAATCTATAAACACAGCATTGTTATTTGTATTATATGTCCTATGTATGTGTACCTCTCACCAGTCAGCTGTGAACACATTAACACCACAAATTATGACTGAGAGTGCATGGAAAGTAGTTAGCAAGTGAAATGGTAAAGTAATGGATAAATGGTTTGAATTGTTTACTAAAAGTCCTGGATGAACAGTCAAAATAGGTGAAATAGTTTAATTTCCCAATATCATTATGATATGTGTATCATTTCATGATTTGAAGAGTATTGTATCTGTATGACAGTTAATTTCTGAGTTGGACATTGTGTGTTCTTAAGAAGCAGATGGTTTCTGGACGGGAAGAGGTGAGAGTGGTTAACACACGTTTATGAGGTTTGGTTTTATACGTACACAACTGTACACAAAAGGTTTGAGAAACAGTTAATATTTATGTTGATCACAAGGAAATAGCATGTATACATACATTGCGTTACATCGTGTATTATGTGTATTCTTCTTCCCAATATTGTGAGTTTATTCACTGTTTGAGAAGGGAAAGTATGTGCCTGATGAGTTTGTTTTAACAATGAAGTTGAGTGCCAGGCAGGGAAGGAGATAGTGGAGGTCATCATGACTTTTGGGGTAAATCCTGTCCAGAGTCCAAGAACATTTAGTTACACAAATACGTTTAAGTAGAGAGCTGAGAAAAACATTTTTGATAGCATGTACTGTATACATAATACATGAAACTTTGCATCACACACACACACCTTACATCAGGTAAACATGACCAGAGTGTGTCCACGTATGGTACACGTACAGTTGGTCAGTAGGGTGTGGTATTAAGGTATATGAGTGAAACAGTGTACTCTGTGGGGGAACTGCAATTCACTGGTCTCTTTGCATGCAATAAGATCTGTCTGAACTACAGTGGCCATTAGTTCAAACAGGAAGCTGTGGGATTGACCAGCTCACCTCGCTGGGGGTAGAGAGCAGATCACGGTTCCACTGGATCTTAGGAGGAGGGGAGCCTGAAGCACTGCACACTGCTGTGACATTACTCCCCTGCATCTTCGTCACAGTTCTGGGGCTGATGTCTACTTTGGGAAACACTGCAAAAAGAACAGACAGAAGGTAAAATTAAAGCTCTCAGTGATTCACTTTTAGCTTTATTTCTGTCCTTGTTTTGATCTCATCTTTCTGTCTTCACAAAGCAATCGCGTCTTTAAAGGTTCAATATCAGTTAGCTAGAGTAGCTATATGGTTTTACTTTACCACAGTCTGGTGGAGTGAGTGTGGCAAAGGCCTGTGTCACTCCTCTGTCGTCTATGCATTTCAGCTCTTGACCTTCAGCTTCTTCTTGGATCCTCGGTTTTATCCAAAGGTTCTCACAAACACAGTCCAGAGGGTTTCCAGACAAGAGGAGCCTAAAGACACAGCACTTGAGAAAGTCTTTGGTTGCACAAAACACAGAGAAATGTACTGACAATTTTATGAGCATAAGACACTTACGGATAAGTTGAGTTAAAGTTCTGAAATGTTCTCCATGACAATGTTGTTAGATCATTGTCTCTGAGATTTCTAAAAGGGTGGGGGGGAAATGATACAAGTCAACAAGGCAGGTGACTCCAGTGTACATCAATGAAATAAAGAAAGAGGGTGTTTAAAATCCTCCTTACACATATTGAAGTCTTGTAAGGTTGGAGAAGGCATCCGATGATATAGATGACAAACTTGTCTTCGTCACTGTTCTGTTGGAAGATGAAATGTAGAGTTATCAGGTCATCTACAGCTTCTAGTCACTAAAAACAAACCATGATACTCACAGGTTTCTGAGGTTTATGTAGTGCTTCAAACTGTTGTTATTGATGTCAAACAGCCTGGGTTGATTAGCAATGTATCTGTCAAGAGATTTAAAAGAAAGACCTGTTAGGTGCCCCAACAGTCAGCTAAGTAACTTGGTCTGAACTGACAGTGTGTGTGATATCCTACAGATAAGCCTTATCTTTCCAAAATTATAGCCACAGTGATAGTGTAAAACAGGAACATTTGCTGTGTTTGTGTATTGTATTAAACTAAATACAAGAACAAGATTTTATCTTTCATTTTGTACGCATAGGTAGAATTATATATGTAGAGTACTGCCCACACAGCTGTCGTATTCCTTTGTTCTGCAGCACATTTGATTGTCAATACAATTTACACACTGGCAGTATGTTGAGTGACACAAATATGTATTGTATTGTTTTGGATACTGTTTATATTTATGATGATAAAAATTTATAAACTTCAAAATATTCCAATTTTTATGGCCTAATAATGCCACAACTACCATGTTTTATTTTTGATAAAACTTGTCACTAAATAGGTATTTGAAAAGATTTTGGCAATAATGAATACACCTTATGTAATTTTGAATACATAAATCAAAACTTGAAATCTTATTTTATTTATGGGGACAAACTAAATTAGTTTTCTCGTGGCATGATAGCACAAAGCAACAATTTTACTAAAATCCACAAATCCAGTCAGAGGAGATAGATGGAACCTTTAACACCACAAAGCTAGTCCTGTCTTTATGACCAATATTACAAATGGGGCACAGGGATTTTCTAAATTCTAGGTAGAAGTTTTACAAGATGCAAGCCCAATAGTCTTCACTGAGGTTTTCTGTTATGCTTCAAATATGATAACTGCATTGGTTTATCCAAACTGCATATTTACTCACTAACAAGAGCTCCCTTTAGACAAACTGAGGAATGTTTACGAGGTGTAAGCTGCTACAAAACTTTTTTTTTAATTGGCAAAACAAAGAAAAACCATATTTTGATCCAAGTACACTATAGTAAAATATATTCATGGCAGGTTGATGTGATGTGAACCTCCAATCTGTCTGCCTAAAAAAATAAATAAACTCATCCAGACTCCCCTCCATCCTCCACTTGGGTGCCATGCAGTTGTATACTTGTGCAGGGTTGTAGCAGGCCTACACGCTGACGCAGATAACGCTACATACCTGTGGGTAGCCTATCGCAATATACAACTTAGGTGATCTCATGATTAATCCGGCAACAATGTGATCACTTTGAAATAACGAGCTTATTTTACACCGCCGCCCAAAAGTCGAATTAACACCTCGGAGGCTGCTCTGGGCCTGAACATTTACTCCATCACTACCTCCGGAGCTGTTTTACAAAGGAAACACCGAATAATCCAAGTAAACCTGGCGCGCACTCTCACCATCATTACGCACACATAGACACACACAATCGTCGTCACTGGCACGCGCAGTCTCTGCCACAGATACACACTCACACGTATACTAGGCTACACAATCCTACAAACCCGTTGGTTAATCGAATAAAATCGCAATTTTTGTGTATGACATTAAGCGCATAAGACAGATCTCTGCTGATCGGTAATCCACAAGGGGAAATAATATCAGCCCTAACACTGCTGTTGTTGATATCATTACCTTTACTATCGTCATAATTCCAGCCCTATTGCGACCTACGATCGAAGGTAATTCTTTACGCATTGCATCCTAATAAGTTCATAAGCTGTCTGCACGATCATTGTCATACACTTACATTTCGGTGATGTTTTCCATGTCATCTAACGTGAGGACAGGGAAATCCTCGATCCCTGGTACAGAATCAATACAAACAATCCTTGAGATGCTGCAAGTGCAGGATTCTGGACAAGCATCGCTAAATCTCCACAATCCCATCAAAACCAAAAACAATCCAAGACGGGCCATGCCATATTCCCCCGCGCTGGAGTCCATCGCGGGTCCAGTGATATCCCACGAATCCCCCAAACAGAATCTGGTCAAATTGAATACTTGTGAAGATTTTCTCCCTCGCCGCCTCTATCTTGCAACGTTAATCCCTTCGACTCTGCAGAACAAAAGACTACGCCGTTGATGAAGAATACGCAGACCTAACGGTTTTAATATCAAGATGCCATGGACTGGCCTTCCCGTCTCCGCAGACCTGGTATCACACTACTGCATATCGATGCCGTGAAGCAAGGTGTCAAGTGGTCCGTCCTGGTGCTGCTGCTGTCTCACTCCTCTATCTCGGGCACAGGGTGTTCGCCTCTGCCTTGTAAAACAAATATGAGGTGTTCCAGATGTTTAGAGCTCAATAGGCAGGGCTACCACAAGCGACTGTTCATATGTGTAGTGATGGGGAGGAAAACAGGAGAGACTGCACAGTGGACTAAGGAT